TTATTAAGAGGAACTTGGAAACTTTTAAGAATGCAATTATTTCTACCGTTCTTATTCCGAGATCTATAAACTCGTGCTGATGTTGATAAATCGTGGCGTGAACGCATTTTTCTTAAGAGAGCGACAGGTAAGACACAGACGTTTGTGTAGCTAAATTAGAATTAGAAAACGTATCTGCAAGCTATTCTTGTAAAGCTTAAAGTTTAACATTGGCAAAGGAATTTGTGTTTAATTTTATTGTAGTCTAGAAATTACAGCGAATGTTTATTTTTACTAATAGATACAATATTACCTACATGTACTAAAGATATACAAACTAATAATTTGATGAGATCAATAAAAAATATGTAGTTGTTGTTAGCATTATTAACTAGGGAATTCTACATCTTTAACTATACACTATGTCTAGTCAGTACAGCGGAAAAATTAAAGTAGAAGAAGGTACATGAAAAAGAAACAGAGTGAACCATTTTACACGACTCAGTAATATACATAAACATAAGGGTAATGACCTTAACGAAAGCCCCAACTGTTCTGCCAATGAGGGCCACGATTACCTAGCGTAGTTGTATGACGTGGCGTTGGTGCAAATCATGTGCAATTGGCTTGTCTGCGTACCAGCTGCTACGAAGGTGACGAGTAGGTACGTGTGTTTCGTCACTTCAATCATTGACGGTTCATTAACTGGGGTACCCTTTGTGTATGGCTTTTACAGCCCCTATGTTGTAGTGTTATCACAACATGCACTCTACAGTGCCTCCAAATGTTACCTTTCAAATATTCCGCGGAATACTAATCAATCCTAGTGTAAATTTTTACTCCTATTTCTGCTGTCTTTCAGAAGTCCTTCATGCTCAGAAGGCGTTCAGTTAAATCCAAATCTAAGCGTTCGCGAGCACAGAAGTGATTTCTTTTTGCATAAGCCAAATAATGATGATTTATTTTAAGATTGCTTCTATCTGTGACTTAATTTTTGTTAAGTGTTTCCTACTACCCCACTTTCCCTTACCGTTTTCCCCGAAAGCTCAATCATAATTTCATAAACGTTACACAAGGAAGTTAATGTGATGCTGTTAATAGCAGGAGCGTGCATAATTTCTAGAAATTTTAACGAAAAATCGAAAGCTTCAATGGCATTAATGCTGAAGGCTGCAATTTTTTTGTGACTGTAAACATGAGATGAAATCAATGCGCTTCGGGGAGCTTTTATTAATTAAGTAGCAGTGATGCAGCACACTGGAAGAGGGACCCTCTACTCGAAAAGTGCTTTGGATACAGTAAGTAAAGCTCTCTGGAGTACAATGTGCACACCACGATCCCCTTCGATGGAACGTCCAAGTTTCATCCATGTATACTACATAGACATACATAATGTGCACGTTTACTGTATACCGAAAGCCGAACAAAGAATTCTGACACTTCTTTCAGCCTGGTACAAGTAAACTCGCATGTATGTATTAGGTAATTATGTCTTTTATTAAAAATACCGTACTATTATTAGTGTTATGGTTGCATTCCCGAAGACTGTACGAGTCCCTAGCTATCGATTTCGATGATGGCATTCCAGTTGAACGAGCTGTCACTGTAGACGATTCGATTGTTTTTAACAAAGGTAAAAAGGAAAGCGCATCGTTTTCCACTCAAGCGGATTCGTTATAGATACACGGGGTATCAAGTTGAGAAATGCGATGCAATATTTGAAATGACGTCGTGATTCGAGAATGCGCCCGAATCAGGGGGGCAAATGTGTACGTATTTACGTAGGGGATGCTCGGATCACCTACGAGGGAGAGAAATCTACTTTGTTAATTCTCCCTTAAACCATTTTTCAAGGGAATAAACTCAACGTGAAGTGATTTATCTTATTGATACTTATAAACGATGAAATTTGCACATTTTGAAAGGAGATGCTTCTTTTGGCGCCTTGCATAAAAACCTTGGATGTTGCGGGCGCAGAATGCGACTGAAGTTACAAGGATATAACCAGTTGAAATAAAATATTTGTTGTCAATATTCCTATTTAATGTAGAAAATGCGAATCGTAATTATAAATTTCTTTGTTGACAATAAGTTAAGGATTGATGAAGAATAATTGCAATTAATATTCAATTCAGATTAAACAAATAATGAAAAAACCTGAGTTAAGACGACATAAAAAAGAGAATTTGTGTATGACGTAACAATTTCTATGTAGGTATTTTAATTCGACTGCTTTTGATCTCTCTGGATCGTAATTCGTTTGTTAAATTCATACGTATGTACACACATAAAGAAGTATTTGGTTAGATATAAATCGAAGAGCACAACACGTTGCGCTATGTCGTACTTTGCTTCCCGCTTGATTTAGTATTCAAATCGGTTCGTTCAGTTACAATCAGGACGGAAACTGTCGTGAGGAATCTCTAATGATAACCAACTGACGAATGACTTGTCAACTGCATTAAAACTTATTTAGTGTAAAATGTATCAGATAGAATGCTTTCAATGCGAGTACGTTTGTGATGATGCAATCTTCATGTTTGTACGTCTCCTAATGAGAATGCGCATCGAGTACGTTAAGTTGATTTTATTAGATACTTTGATGAATTTTTGTTAACGAATTATAGGTACATAACTGTTCATATCTAGTTAAAATATGGATTGATTTTCAAATACAGTGGAATTATTTAATATTTTGCGCCGGTGAAGTCGTGAGCGAAATTTTAATAACTGGTGGCTCTTTTGGTAATCGTTCGCGAGCATAGAAGTGACTTCTCTTCATTTTAGGCGACTCGACCCTGCGCTATCCTCTGCATTATATCCTTACTACTCCTTCCGTCCTGACTTATTTGACTTCCTAGATACCTAAAATCGGCCACTTCTTCTAATTTTTCGTCTCCTATTTTATATATCTGTTCTTTCCCTACTTTTTCTTCCCTTGCATACCAGTATTTTTGTTTTACTTTTATTTATTTTCATATAGTACTGTTTCGTCACTACCGCTTTCATTTTATTTAAAGCTATCTCTTAACTCCTACTTGCTAGACGCTAATACCGCTATAGTGAAAGATACAGACATTATATTAATAGGAAAAATGAATAGATTTACTGATGCCTTCTTGAGGTTTCCGCGAAAGAAAACAATAACATTTAATATGACTTAGATTCATTATACAGAAAGGACATTCAAGAACACAAAACATTATCTCACTTTATCGTACCTACTACGTAATTTTAACATCCTGCACCCTCTGTGCGAGTCACTTCGAGCTGCAAATGACCTTAGTATGATTGTTTTCTGTCGATATTATAAAATTTTTCGTTTTATAATATTGACGTAATATTATATTCTTATACTTATAAAAGGTTATGCACAAGGATCAGCGATTATTATACTCTAACGGTATTTTGTGATATTTTATCGGATTCTCATTATATCAAATTGATAAGTATCTCTAATCACTAAATCAAAGCTGTGTAGTGTGCATGTATGTACGTATGTATAAATTCGTACGCTCAGTATTTACCATGAGATCCAACTGTTCGTGTTATTAATTACTTGCAGAACTGCACAAATCCTAGTACCGTAAGTAATATTATGGTTTGCACTCAGCCAATCCTTACATAAATCACATATTGTGCTCTCCGGCGAGTACCTTTATTTCGCATAGAAAACATTTATTAATTTCAATTGCGCTCGCTTGATTTCCTGTGCTTCAACAGGTGTTCAAAGTTTACCTTCTTACAACCGTCGCCGCCGCCATCGTCCTGTCTTTTTTCTTTCGTCCTGCGAGAAAACGAAACCAGGATAACTTATTACAGGCCATTTGCTATGTACCTACACGAATGCGAACTTAACAAACTATTTACGGACACACATTGAGATGTATAATTGCAGTTTCATCAAGAAAACTGAAGTCATCAGTAGGTACCTGTTCTAGAAATGTCACTAATAAATAATATATCATATACTCTCTTAAATAGAACGATAGTGTAACAATTCAATTTATAGTAGATAATATTGTTTAATTTTATAGACGACAGCGAATTTAGGACAATACTCTTAATTGCAATCAGGTTAGTCAGCCTGCAGCTTCAATTGTCCTCTATTATGATTTCATGTATTCGTTTCACAATAAGTAGTACATTGTAAGAGCTGTCTGTTGACCTGAAAATAATTGATACTGCTGAAATGAACCATTTCTGCGTCACGCCGATTCAAGCAAACCCAGTGACACCTAATAGTAGCTGTGTGAACTAAAATTGAATTCTTTTTTAATACCTATATATTTATCAGATTTAATTAACTAAATGGTTCACTAATATTTAATGAATAGATAATAAATAATTTATTCGAAACAGCATTGAAATTAAAAATACGACTTGCTTTTTCAAATTTTACCCTTCAATTTTTTCCCTTTTTTAATTTATTCATTCATTAAGTCGATAAAAAAAATAATTGTTGAAATAATATTTACACTTAGCCTGTCGTTTTTACGTGATGAAAAAGTTTATATATGCCTATGTGGCTGTGAACTCCTAATTATAATTTAACACGAATTCTTGTTTTTCTTTTTTCGTTAATTATCGCGTTATAAAATTCCTTGGCGCGGTTCTAAAATTTTAATTTTCCTAAAGCGTAAACATGTTAATGTCGTCTTCTGCTGGCCTGTTCATTTTTTAATCGTGACAGCTCCTTATTGATTTTCTCTTCACCAAATGGACCTCTCCGTACGTGATGCTTAGCTGTAGTACAATTAAAAAATTTCGAACGCGAGAGCGGGTGCGATGTTACTTAATTACCGTTATTAAAATTACGTAACATTAAGGGAAAGACAAGATTTGTAATCCGGCGAGCATATATGGGCAATATTAACACCAAACCAACAGGTACCTAGTGGTTAAGTTTTAAAAGCTGTTATGGTTCCGTCCATAATTATGGAACATCTCATGTATTTCTTGACAGATGCAATGCAATAGTTAGTTCATTAAAACTTTCTGGATAATATAAGAACACTTACCAAATCTTTGTCTGTCTATGGAAAAGGATAAAGTAGAAACCTGAAATAATCAAAAATCAATAATTAATTTTATTTTTTTTAACAAAATCAAAATGAAATCTATTTCAAAAACAAATAAAAAAGGAACAAGCAAATCGATTGTGGATAATCTGTATTAGTATAAGGAGAAAGTGTAAAAAAAAAACATAATACATAACGCCCTTCTTCAAAACTATGTTGATTCGTTTTTGATAATTAGACGTTCCACCAAAAGCTCTAAAGTAATAAATTTCTAACATTTTTAAAAAACCAATATTAAAGGTGCTTTTAGACTAAGCGAGCGACAACTTCTTCGCAAATCTCTCTATATTACATAAAACATACTGTAATGTTCGTGGGTTTAACAAAACTACTACTTAGACTGATAACGACAAAAACTACTTATTTACATTAATGTTGATATATCACTATTTACTGCGCTATTTATTACACTGCTATCACTGTCAACTTATTTCTGGATTCACTTCTGCAACGGTCAATTTATTTCTTCTCTTCTCGGCGATCGTCTCTTCCTTTAAATACTCTTTTGTTTACTTTCGGGAACCTTCTGAAAACACCCGGATAGTTTATTTTTTCTTTGAACTGTTTAACTGCTTTCGCAGAACGCAGGTACGACACACACATTTACAAATACGGCGTACATGAAAAATGGCGCCTGCGGCTAGTCGGCGAATCGATAAGCCGTTCACGCACACGTGTTCCCGATCGTACAATACATATTTCATGACAGTTTTTTCAATTGATATATATATTTATATATAATGAATACGAACAAACTTTTGTTGCAATTACGTCTTTTTGTTTGCATACCCTGTACGCCTTTATACTACTTATATGCACATAGGTACTGCCCGGAAACATAAAGATTATATTTTTTCCAGTACATGGATTATTACGAGAATCTGGTTTATAGCAATTTTAATCAGTTATAACCCAATTGCTTTGACTTTTCGTGCAATTTTCATATAACGGAGACAGGAAATTTGAAATGCGTATTGTGTCTTAATTTATTGGTTGGAGTGTAGAGTCTATTTCTTGGCAATTACAGCTTGAGAAGCAAACGGCCCCAGCGTGATACCGAGCCGTCTTTCGTATCTCCCGCTAATTAAGTTGTCAAGATTAAGGCGATTTTCAACGACTGCTTATCTACCGAGTGGCATAAAAATTTTAAATTACGTCCACGGCACGCCACACGAATTAAACGGCCTACTGATTACCGCGCGTGATTTAATTAATAGCTTTCGTTCAAAAACGATAACGCGCGAGGAGAGGCTGCGCTCCAGTTTATTTGCATTATCCGGGGAGGCGATGATTTTCGAAAGGATAACAACCAACTTATACAGCACACCTATACCTACGCACTTCCTGCACCCTATCAACAAAATTTTTAGTTTGAAATTTGTGCTCATTGCTAAGTATAAGTCTTAAGACTTACACCATGATTATGATGATATTGCACACATAGCTTCGTTTCTTGGTTTTGATTATAATTACTGGTAAGTAAATATAGGCTCAAAACTAAGACCATAAGAAGTCTTGCATAGTTTCAGTCATCTGTCTGTTTTGGCTTTGAATTAATGATGAAAAAAACAAGATTGCAACCAATACTACGAAAATCTTGCATGTCATATTATTCCTAAATTAACGTAAGTGGATTTGGACACGTTAATTATTAAAAAAAAACTTTTGTCAACGCAGCACCACCACTGAGGATGTCAGCCCCAGTAGCTGGTGAAAAACGTCTGGACGGAATAGTTCACTTAGACCACTGCCCTATAGCCCTAATCTTTATTCTACTATGGATTCCGGCCGTGAAAGCCTTTGTTCTCTGAAAGAGAAACTCGAATCTCTCAATAAGTGGTGTCTCGATAGACATGGTAAAATTTTCTAAATTCAACATATTTCAGAGATCCCAGTCTTTCTACAAGAGACTCCAATTTTTCAGTTTTATTTATTCATTCTCTCTGTGAGAGACTCGAATCTCTGAATTAACAATTTTATCGTTCGAATCTCTCATACAGAGACTGTGAGAGATCCATAAAAACACCTAGGCAATAACTGAGAGACTGTGACAGACGCTCTCAGGGACGCTGAAAGACTTTGAGAGACTGGGGAGAGATTGAAAATTTTTGTCTAGGGGAAGGCCTACTTTTACTCACGACAGACGTAGGGAATATTGTAGAAAAGAGATGTCAGGCGGGAATTGCAGCGGGCACTAATAAAGAAAAGGAATAACATTACACCAATTTATGTGTAACAGAAAGAGATGCAGACATGCAGAATTAGACTATGTTGCCAGCATCGGACTTTGATAAAGAAAATTCAACATTCTCAAGAATTTAGGAAAGCAAAGAGGCTTGTTTGAAGATATAATTCCAATCAGCCTCAGCAACATCTAACCGCTGTACCGTTTACTATTATTCGGTTATCTCTTGTCACTTTGTCTGTACTACTAATAAAGCACTACCTAACTTAACAAGGGCATGCTCAAAACGCAGCAAATGATCGCAGTCCCAAGTGGAAATAAGAAAGAAGATACGTCGATTTTCGTAGATAATTTGTTGCGGACTTTGCCAATTTTGATAGTCGATAATTGAGACCCGAAACCATTTTGGCATCCTTTTTGATAATCACCACCTAATGTACAAGTAGTTGTTTTTTTTTGTGAAAGTTCGTAACGTGTACAACGTTTTAATATTCCAAGTCGACCAACTGAATGAGGTAATTACATATCTTAATTTGTGAAAACATCTACACAAGTTATTTGTATATGCAAATACGTAAACATGGTAATTCAGGGTCGCTTAAATTACACAAGTTGCAATTGTAAATGTTGGTAAATCTATTTCGGCACCTGTTCGTATAGAAAAAGGGAATAATTCATGGGCGCTCATAACAATAATAAACAGTCGTTAGCATACTGATGGCACAATTTTCTACAGTAGTAGTTATGGTGTGGAATTTACGACCGTACTATCACATAATAAGCGTTACCTGTCCACTGAATAGAATAAAACGTCGGCCGTATAAAGTGACGAAACGACCGTGATTCCTGTGGATAATTATTTGTTTTGTCCATTTACGAAACCAAAATGAGAAAATGGACCTTAAAGCATCCTCGTGATTTCAATAAAAGCCGAAGAAAGAACCACATATATTAACAATGTTACTACATCGCTAGATAAATTCAACCGACCGTTTTATTATTCTTCCTTGCCAACATTTAACTTTATGTAATGATTATTAGTTTTAAATTGTAGAGTAATTACATCTTTTGTGTGGGACTTGCAAATTCTTTCAGTACATGCAGTGTATAACAGTCTATAACGAAACGCAACGGATCTAGGATCAAGCATAAACTATAAAAATATAAAATAAGAATAGTACATACTATTATCCACAAAAGATGATCAATCTCTATAGTATTATATACATTATAAGGCAAATCAATCTTATTTAAATATGTCTATACGCTTTATAAAGATTATCCCGCTATAACGATTTAAGAGCCTGGGCAAACATATTGGCGTATCGATCGCCGCCTCAGGCATACGTTTATAACACAAGGATAAGATAATTTGTGTTTGTATTTATCATTTGAGGAACAGAATTTCATTTTAATCATTATTTTTTTATTGTAATACCTTTAAAAGTGTTCAACAGCATAGAAGCAAATTATTTTGTTTTAATTTTAATTGCATTCTTTTCTAACGAATATCGCAACAACTCCTGAATCTACTTCGATTTGTAAATTTCATTAATATGTGGCATAGTAATTGTACTATTGATTAAACAATTAATATCAATTTTTCATTAGATATCCGATACGAATCTACAAATAGTTATAAATTACCGTCCCAGGTATGTGCTCGATAATTAATTTTCTACATCAGTGGTTTTATTTTGAATTCCTTCCACGTATTAAATGCGTTTGCTTAAGGTGCAATGTGCATATATGACAACGTTCAATTACTATCCCTATTTTGTAAAGTAGTTCATGGTTGAATACGCAAAGGTCCTGGCATTGTGGGCGTCACCGATATTTTATGATTTTTAAAACATAAAGAGAAAATGAAAGGCGATAATCATAAAAATAGTTGCGGGTGGTTAGTGATAAATATCTTAATAAGTTTTACGCATTATGAATTATCTATGATATTTAGAGAATTTTAAACAAACTTTCATAGAATTATATAATAATTATTTGTTTCTCAGGAATGAGAACTGGTGGCTCTAGCCAGTATCGATATCTGTTTACTTATATCTTCAAGAGGATGATCTCTAATATCTGTAGGTGCTCAAGGGAGTCGCTATAAAATAATTTAAAGGATTTAAAAAAGGTAAAAAAAGGAGTACCTGGAAGAGAGATTATATGAGTGTTGGCGATGGACATGACTACAAATTCTTTAGTGCACTAGACTGCAATTGTGACATATTGATAAACTTCATAACGAGCTTTTTAGAGTACACCAACCGACGAGCAACAACCGAGCTTTTTATGACCGTTTTGCGGGTGCCCTTTCGGAATTATGTTCTATACAATCATGTATTCGCACCCCACAAATATTTGCATGTATTTTTATATGTACATACGCAATATTTGTGTAATGGATCAGTTGTATTTGTGTTTGGATGTATCCAATGATGCTGTTCAATGCAAGAGAGAACGAAATATTGAGCTTTCAGTGGAACAGTGGGTCTTACTACTACCTAACGTTGAAG